AAATAATGGCATCTGGAGTTGCCAGGCCACATGTTTGACTTTGAGAACTGACACTGTATATAAATGATATAATACCCTCCATTTTCCTTGCTATACAAATTGAGTATATGACTGATAAGGCAAGGCAAATTTGTGTATAGCACATTATCATACACAGAGGCTATTCAATATGGTACACGGAAATAAAAGAAAAGATAAAAAATAAAGTAAAAAGTATAACAAGAAAATGGTATGAAAACAGATTATAAAATAGGTAATATCTAATTAAAGCACAAGATTTGATGAAGGCAGTGGAGTATAGAAGCCATTTACAGTTTAGTCTGATTTGATCTCCATTGGGAGCTGGTTCCAGCTGTAGGCAGCATTCTGGCTGAAAGCCATTTCACCCTGTTTAGATCTTACAGACATGTAAGGTTTCGATTGAACAGGTAAGAAATATATTTACATTTATATTTATAGCCCAGACCTAAGTCTTGGTTGGACACAAAGTCTCCGACACTAGGTATGTTTTTGAGATGCCAAAATGCAAATTTAGTTATAGCTTTGATGTGGTCACTGAAACTAAGATCTCCATCCCAGATTTTTAACATGGGTTTTAATCTCTAGACTCCAGGTAAGCACTAAGTTGCAACCTTCTGTCTTTGCTCCCAAATAGTACTATCTCAGTCTTTATACTTGTCTTTTCATACTAAAAGATAGGAGCAGTTAACCCTGCATGGTTTCTAAAATGTGAAGTCTAGATTGCTTAGAATATTGGGAATAACAAGTAAGTAGCCCCTTGCTTGTATAGGACATTTCACGACCTTATGCAAATCTACACGTAAGGTCACTCATGTGGTGCAGTGAAAGTTTGTTTATGGTAGCTGACAAAGTAATGCAGAGGAATGAGTGCGAAGTTCAACAGCAGGATAGAGGGGCTCATCAAATGTTGTTTTGAAGGTATGGAGGCGAATCCGACTGTCGGAGGAAACTCTGTAGAAAGACAGAGTGCCAGCCGGCCAATCCAGATACACCCCCACCCGACTAGAGCGTGAGCGGAGGGAAGATACAGTGATAGGGTCGTTGTTGTGCAGAACAAAACAACCAGCATTACAGCAATTAAGACTCCAAGACTTGTCGTTGCGTCCCAGCTTGCAATCATTCACATCCCCTTTCCTCTCAATGCTTCTGTATGTCACCCCAATGTTGAAGGGCTCCAACACATCGAACTCCCAGTAGCAGCGTTCATTTAAACCCTGCTCACACAGCACTTGTGGCCACTGATCAAACCTCTCTGGATGATCTGGATACGACTGCTCCTCTTCCACCCAGGTCACCTTTCTGTTCCCGTCAGAGAGACGGAGGTTCTTGTGGGCTGTGTTGGGATCCAAAGTGAGCTCACAAGCATCTGGAGGTAAGGAAACAAATCATTTCAGCAGCATAGACTTTAACAATATAGCTTGTGGTCACTACTGGCAGCACTAAGCACAATGCTGCTGCAGGGTAAAGTTTGTTGAAATATACGAAATCTAGAACTGATGTTCTCTGAAAACCTGCATAGACCTCCAGCTGCATGCTTTGCTTACTTACATTTCTTGAATCCTGGT